TTATGATAATAACAGTGAACCTGGTATTAATGATAATAGTAATGGACCTGATAATAATGATTGTAATTATATGAATGATAATGTGATTAAAAATGATGATAAGAATAATATTCCTGATGACATTAATGAAAATGATGATGACAAGGAAAAAATAATTGTAAGATTGATGATAATAGTGATAATAAAGATAATAATGGTGATGATAAAAATAATAGTAATGATGATGATGACAATAATAATAATAATAATGATAATGATAATAATAATAATAATAATAATAATAATAATAATGAAAATAATAATAATAATGATAAAAAATAATAATGGTGATGATGATGATGATGATGATGATGATGATGATGATGATAATAATAATAATAATAATAATAATAATAATAATAATAATAATAATAATAATAATAATAATAATAATAATGATAATAATAATGACAATAATAATAATAATGATAACGATAACAATGAGAAATATCTTAATATTGATAATTAACATTATTATTATAACCATGGTAATAACAATAACAAAGATAATGAAGAATAAGAGATAATTACATCTACTATAAAAATGAAAAGAATAATTACAATGATTGATATTGAAAATGATGATAATGATAATGATGATAAAGATAATGGTAATGAGAATGATAATAATAATGATAATAATAATGATAACAAAAGAAATGATAAAGATGATAATTATAATGACAATAACAAAAGTAATAGTAAAGATGATGACGATGATGATGATAATAATAATAATAATAATAATAATAATAATAATAATAATAATAATAATAATAATAATAATAATAATAATAATAATAATAATAATAATAATAATAATAATAATAATAATAATAATAATAATAATAATAATAATAATAATAATGATAATGATAGTGATGATGATGATGATGATAATGATGGTAATGTTAAAATCATAATGATGATAATATCAATAAGGATAAAAACAATAGAAATAATACAAATTATGTCAAAAGTAATGACATCAATAATGACAGGAATGATAATGATAATGATAATAAAAAACTGTAATAGAAATAGTATTAATAATAACGATATAATAGCAGATGTAATAATGAAGATAACAATGAGAGTAATAAAAATAACAGTTACGTTCATAATGGAAAAATATACTAACAATATTAATATGGATGATGATAATAATGATGGTAATGATAATAATGATGATGATGATAATAATAATATCAATAACAATAATTATGATATTAATGATGATGATGATATAAAGAATAATAAAGATAACAATGATAGTAATAATGATAATGATAATGATCATGATAATAATAATAATGATCATAATCATGATAATGATTATGATAATAATAACAATAATGATCATAATGATGATAATGATCAGCATCCCTGTCATCATTGCTATTATTTTTTATTATCAGTACTATTTTTGTCATTATTATTATTTTCATCATAGTCACTACTACAGTTATTATCATTAGTATCATAATCATCATCATCATGATAGTGATAATGATGATGATGATGATGGTGGAAGTGATGATGATGATCATATGATGATGAAAATAATAACAAGAATAGTAATAATAATAATGATAAGAAAAATAATAATGATAGTAATAACGATAATAATGATGATTATGATAATGATGAAAATTATAGTAACAGTGATAATAATAATGCTAATAACAATATTAATAATAATGATAACGATAATAGTAATGATGATAATAATAATGATGATTATGATGATGAGGATGATAATGATAATAACAAAAATGATGATAATGATAATAATAATAATAATAATATAAATAATAATAATATAATAATAATAATAATAATATAATAATAATAATTACAATAACAATAATAATAATAATGATAATAATAATGATAATAATAATCACAATAATAATAACAATAATAATAATAATAATATAATAATAATAATAATAATAATAATAATAATAAATAATAATAATAATAATTAATAATGATAATAAAATGAGAATAATAATGATGATAATAATAATGACAACAATAATAATGAGAATAATAATAATAATAATAATAATAATAATAATAATAATAATGATAATAATAATAATAATAATAATAATAATGATAATAATAATGGTAGTGATAATAATAGTAATAATGATAATAACAACATATACTACTACTACTACTACTACTACTAATTATAAATAATAGTAATTTTGATGATGATGATGATAATAATAATAATAATATCATTAAATTATTCTAATCAATATTGTTATTATAATTATTGATTTTGTTGTTATTATTATCAACACTATCATTGTCATCATCATTATCCTTATAATTGTTATTATCATTATCATTATTGGTATTTTCATTATTATCATCATTATCATTACTGTTATTATCAACTTTATTAGTTTAACCCTTATTATTATCATTTTCATTCCTTATTGATATAATTATTATTGTTATTATTATCATTATTATCATGATTATTATCATTACTATTATTATCATTATAATTATCATCAATAATGATAATGATGATATCATTATTACCATTATCATTAATATCATTATTACCATTATCATTAATATGATTTTAGTATTGATGTTTTAATGCTATATTAATATAATTATTATTGTTATTATTATCATTATTATCATGATTATTATCATTACTATTATTATCATTATAATTATCATCAATAATGATAATGATGATATCATTATTACCATTATCATTAATATCATTATTACCATTATCATTAATATCATTATCATCACCTTTATATTTTTTATCATTATCATTATCACTGTTATCGTTATTATTAGCAGTATCATTATCATCATTTTTGCTATTATCATTATTATTATTATTATTGTTCTTGCTGCCATTGTTATTACAATTACGTTTATCATTACTATCATTATCATTATCATTGCTATTATCATTGTTCAGTATTATCATCATCATTATCATTACCATTATCATCATTCATCTATTTTTCTATCAATTTTATGGTCATTGTCATTTATATCATTTATATCACATTTTAATACTATTACCATTATTATTGTTTTACGTAATAATGTTTTTATCATTATTATCATGGTTATTATCATTATTATACTGTTATCATTATCATTGATTAATGTTATTATCGTTGCTATTATTTGCATTGATATTATCAGTATCATTGGTATAATTAATTTTCTTATCATTATTAATGTTATTATCATTATCATTGTTATAATGGTTATTATTATTATAACTATCATCATCATCATTATCGTTATTATGATTATCATTATCATTGTTATTGTTATCATTATCATTATTACCGATATTGATAATAATACTATCATCTTTTTATTATCATTATTGCTATGATCGCCATTACTATCATTATTGTTATTATTATTATTTTCTACCATTATTATTGTTGTTATCATTATCTTCATTATCATTATTTATCATTATTATTATTATTATCTTCATCATCATCATCATCAGCAGCATTATCATAATTTTTATTATTATTATTATCATCGTCATAGTACTATCATTATTGCTAAAATTATTGTCATTGATATTATTCTTCATTGTTGTTTCGTCATTATTGTTTTTATCATTACCTTTATTCATTGTTATTATCATCTATTCTGATTATTGTTGTTGTTGCTATTTAATTTTTCTTCTCGTTATCATTATTATCTTTATTATTATCATCATTATTACCATTGATATTATTATCATTATTTTTGTTTTGATTACTTACATTTATAAATTTTATTGTTACTTTTATAATCATTACCATTATTATTATTATTACCATTATCTTTATTATCATTAATATTATTATTGCTAGTATTTTCATTATAATTATTGCTATTATAATTACTATTACCATTATTGTCATCATCATCAATAATAACATCATTATCATTATTATTATTGTTATCATCATTTTAATGTTATTATCAGAATCCTTATTTTCATTATCATTATTGTTATTATTATAATTAATGTGAATCTAATGGTAATAATGATTATCATTATCATTATCATAATTATTGTTATTATCATTATTTTTATTAACATCGTCATTATCTGTATTGTTAGCATTGTCATTATCTTTATCGTTATTCTTTTATCCTTATTATTCATATTCTATTTATTAGTGTCACCTTAGAGCTGTTATTACTCTGCCATGGCCAGCATTATCATTTAATATTACGTTCATATTTGACATTATAATTACCATAAGAACTGCAGTAATCATCAGGAATATTAAGACTGTAGAACCGTATCAACATTTTGTTTATGATGTTCATATTTATTAATAGTTGCCATTTATGGTTTTGAGCTGCTGTGCATGATAACTGTACCATGCGTAAATTAGATACCCAATATCACCTTTAAACTTATAGCAATTATATGCTATCGCATAACATCGCCATATGATTACCTGAATACCGAAATCACTCAAAAAATAATGACAGTAGAAGTTGAATGAATAATGTATGAAAATGAATTAACTTATACGCCTCTCTGTTCACTCTGACGTTGACGCAAGTTGTAAGTTGAAGAATTATTTATGAGGTGTCTCTCGCACTTCAGAGATGAATGCCTCACGAAATGGCTTATGGATATTCCAAGAGATATTGTTACTTCGCTCGAATATATGGAATATATATCATCATTTGCGATATATTTTGACGCAATATTTCTCCCCTTTTCGGGAAATAGTCGTTATGCACACCAAGCTAAGCTTAACGTTCAAAGAATGAAATACAGAAAAGTAGCAAATATTATGTAGGACATATTTTCAGAAATCACTCTACAATTCGACCAAGAGTAAGGGCAAGTAAATTCAAAATAAATGTAATACAAAGGACCCACTGACCCTCACAAAATTCCCGTTTTCTATGAGCGTCGCCATCCCTCCCTACGCAGATGGAACGTTCGTGTCCCAGCCATCGGAGGGCGCAGACGGAGGCCCAAAATCAATGGCTTTTCTCGCTAGTGTGCGCATATTGTCAAGTGTTTCTGTGCAG